TGCTTTTTGTTGCATCACTTCAATTGTCTTGCTGTATTAATGTTAGCTCTTTCTCTAAAACCAAGGTGAGAGGTACGCCACTCACTTTGCAGTTCTTCCCGCTGAAAGAGCTGACTTTAGACTTTAGATTGATTACTATTTATAATATATTAATATGTATATTATGTGACATAACATTAAAATGGAGCCCAACTAGGGAAATAGTTGGGCTCCATTTTAATGCTATGCCACATAATATACATAGATACATACATAAACATGGATGAATGGAAAGCTTTTTATTTGTATTTTTATTTTATTTTAATTTATAGTCTTGCGTTGCTTATTTTCTAACACAGGAGATTTTTTTTAATAGCCAGGTGCAAGATATATAAACATTTTTTGTCCGCTCTTTTTTTTTCCTCTGGAAGTGAGACTCTACTAAAGCCTAAAGTAATGATACTGTTATCTCATGTTAAAACTAGGGATGGTCAGATACCAAGTACTGTACTCTGTATAAAGTACAAGTACAGATACTTTTCGAGCTCCAAGACTAGACTGGAGAAAAATGCAAAAGTTAAGGGGCAGCTGTCATTTGTAAGGATGCACACGGAGCTCCTGGTATTTGTACATCTCTATTTTATTGTATGATTTTGTTTTTATAGATATATATAAGTGATGCACCGATACCAGTTTTCCAAGTACAAGTACTGATACTTGCCCAAGTACTCACAGATACAAGTACTGATACATTTTTGTTTATTGTCATGTGACAGTTTTTCTAAAACAATACAGACTAATGATCTCAGGACAGTGGTGGAGCACCAGAGCCTGGTCCCAGCTGCAACCGCTGCAACCCTGGTAGTTCTCATGAAAATGCCAGGTATCGGCACTGGTTTCTGAACTGGTATCTGGACATCCCTAGTTAAAACCTATTTGCACTTATGTACCATGCATTGTTCTATGCTTTGAAAAATCTTGTGAAACGCTCATCGTCCATTTCTCTTTAAGACCTAGTGTGTTATATGTGTTATCATAATAGGGCAGTTTCACCACACATTACTACAGCAGTAATTTTGTGTGAATGGCACCCCAACGCACTACTACAGTAGCACACTGCAGTGCGCCACAACACACACGTCAATGCGTTGTTTAGCACTGCAATAATAAGGGTCATGTCCAGTGTTTTGTGTGAGGATGTACTGCCCATATAAAATGAATGGGCTGCCATAATGCACACGTTTTAATGCAGCACATAGTGTGAATGGGCCCCTAAAGCACCCTGTACTAAAACTGTATGGGGGAGGGAAGCTTTGTTTTAGTACAGGTCCACTTCAAGGATAAACTCTTGTCTGTGAACTATATCAGCTATTTTGGATGCACTTGGGCAGTGTTTCTTTTTTTGTGCTGCAATGGTTTCACCACATTCTCAGCACCCTGCCTACCTTTTTTTGATGATAGGTTGGAGGTTGGAGCTATAGCGACAAAGTAATCCACTTTGCTAAACTAATTGTAGACATACAACTTCTATACTAGGAATTGTGAAATGTAATGGTACTAAAAATTATCTTTCCATTTCATTCTACAGCCAGCAGCAATTTTCTTCAACTAACATGAAATTCAAATGTTACTTTCTAGCAGCTATGGCAACTCGGAGTGTACTGTACAATGTTTGTTATAGAACACCCACAGACATTGTATTATCTGCATGTGTGATTAGCCAATGCTTTTCACAAAATGATGCAAAAGCAAGGAAAGCACTGTCTGTATGTATGACTGTCTGTCTCCAGGCTTAAATAGAAACTTTTCATGTCTGCCTATGAACTACCGCTGATAGTGTACACTAGACTAATACTCTACTTTTGATTTGCTGACTTTATAGGAAAAGGGGAATTCTAAGCAGACACAGTGGATCCCCAGGCTCTCGAAAAGCAGAAAAAGGACTACCCTCTTTTCATCAGCCTTTTGTTCCATTTTATGGGGGAGGAACTTTATCTTCTGAAATCAGGTAAATAAAAAATATTTATATCTATCTTGTTTTATATATCTACTTTATTTTTTAATAATATATAATATTGCCACAGTGCAGA